AGCGTCCTCTTTTTTCGGAGGGACCCTGACCTCCGTCACCTTTGACCTGGAGCTCCTCATCGGCGAGGCATCGAAGTGCGGGATCCGACGGCCAGACCCCCAGAGAGAGAGACTTTGAGTGACAGGGCGACCCCGTCGCCAAGCTTGATGGCGGGCCATGGAGGAACGAACGCTGTTTGAACAAAACTGGGAGATGTGATTTTTTAGAGGCCCTTGGCCCGCTTGGCCGTTTGGTGCTGGGCAGCAGGGAGAGCGTCCTAGAGCCGGCTGCCGTAACGCACCATAGGTGTCGCCTGGCACTGCTGCGGAACACGCACATGCTCACGGAGGACTTGCCTGCGTGGGCGTAATGTTGGGGTCTACGATGATTCTACTGAGTCAAGATCGACAGGGATGGCAACCTGATATTTGGCACTCTGGCTTCCATCTTCTCTGTTGAAATCACACACAAACCTTTTGGACTGTCTTTGCCCGATACAGTGGCTGGTAGCCAGATTCCATCATTCGAGAACAAGCACCGTAGTCACTGCTCAAACTTACCGTGCATCGAAATGCCCGGAAGGTCCACGATCTCTCATTCAGCGTCACCTTGGATCGATCCCACTTACCCAGCCTTGCTTTGAGAACAGAGCTCGGCTAGAAATCAGAAGGTTAAAATTCGTTTGCTTGTCTCCAGGAGTGGTTCGACGTCTCATCGAAGGCTCCAGCATTCGATTGTTGGCGGGCTTCTTTAGATCCTTTCAAGAAACTGCCTTTGGTACTGGCCATTGCAGGTACCACTGCGTTTCTATTTTTCTTCGTCATATTTTGACAAGAGCTCAGCATACACCGTGGCCGCACGGACCTCAGGTTGAGCTTGTGTTTTGCTTCGCTGCGCAGACTGTTCAGACGGTTGGCCGGCTTGCGGCTATTCGGATCCTGGGCTGCCGGGGTCCTGTATGAGAGATGCTGAGTTTGATGCCCGGTTTTGATTTCGGTCCCAAGATATACGAACAGTTACTAGCTGGAATGTGATTGGAGCCAGACGTCGGGCCATCTGCGGCTGTCTGCAGGTCTGTTGGCTGAGACCTGCGGAATCTGTGAATCGCCACTTTTACATTGGAAATACGTAGCGAGCCGTTCCGGCCTCGCTGTGACCGTATTGTCTATGTGGTTGCAAATCAGCAATTAAGTCAATGCTGGTGTTCGCCAGACTGTTCAACTACATGAGATTAAACGTCACATGGCAGGATTTGTCGCCCAACTTTTCATACGTCGCGTTGCTCGTACATCGCATGCACAAGTTATCAGGCGCAGCATGAACACCCAGGCGGAAGCGTGGCGTTGTTTCTGCGAAGGTTTCTGTCCAGCTTGGGCAGACACTGACAAGAAGAATGTTGGATCTGCACCAAGCCACATCAGAAGTGCATTGCAAAACAAAGAGCACAATAGCTGGACAATACATCAGTTCATGCGTGTCAATACATGACACAGCTACTGGATCCTAATGGTACCTGCATGAGCACTTGCAGATCAGAACTGCGTTGTATGAGTAGAAGCCGACCGACGGAGATCAGAGATGAACAAGAACCAAGCAAGGACTGCACACACGAAGAGGAGGTGAGACCAAGATGATCTTCTACGAAGCGGAAAAGGTAGAGACACACACAGACACACCCATCTGCATATCCAAATGAATATGCACGGCTTTTTGCGAGCATAAGAACCGAGAAGTATGCCCAACGCTTGCGTTGTCCCTTTTTGGAACATTGCACATTGCAGATCCCGCGCAGAAAAGCTTTTTCGGGGCATCTCCAAAGCAAGGGACAATTCAATTTGTGAATTTCCAGGGTGATATGTAATGAATTGTATTGCACTCTGTTTATGCAGTTGCTTCTGCTTCTGCTCGCTCTGGATAGCCTTTTTTAGGCATCGAGTCTGCGACGGCCATCGTAGCAGTGCCCAAAGTGGGGGCAGAGGAGGCAACCGGGAGCCCGACTCTCGCTGGGGAAGTCTCTGATGGAACTGCCACGATCGTGGCTGAAAGGCTTTTTCTGGCATTCTGACCTTTGAGGTATGTAACCTGCTTGAGATTTTGGGATCCCAACACATGTGCCATGTCATGACGAGTATGGACACCCAGCTTGGTTGAAGGAATCAGTAGCAGGGTAGTTCCAGTTCCTGGCCTGCAAAGAGCACCTTGAACGCCCTAGCGGCCCTAGCGACCAGTGCCAAGTAGCTGGCCGTATCTGGCCGATGCCTGCCCATGCCTGCATGCGGCATCTTGACAGTAAGCTGAAGAAAGGACTTTCGGCTGCCAGCCTCACGCTCAAGCGGCAGTTTTCTATTCTTCTACCTTCACGTTTGGAGCCATGTTGCACACGGGTTGAATGTAGCCGCGTCGTAATGGCAGGAATTTCCTAAGGGCACATCACCAGCGTGCAAAGGGACGATCGACCCAGCAGATGGCTCGGAGTGGTGGTGTTGACAGTGAAGTCAATTCGTCTAACGGGCGGTGTGGCGTGGCAGAAGCCACCCTTATCACTGCTGGCACTGCCGGTCAGGCGAGAGCTCGGTTTGATCGATCGTGCAGATTTTTTGACCTTCCCCAGGTTGTTGCAGGGTCCAGGCGTCTCAGGGTGCTGCAGGGTTTTGGTGGTGTGAGCATCCCTTTTGCATGTAGGCTCTCCAGGTATGGCTAAGGAGCTGCAAGTGGTTGCAAGATCAGCTCCGGCCAAATGCAAACGGCGCGCTTTCGGATGTACGTTTCTCTCCACTCATGCATCAGACGAGTCATTGTGGACTTCCTTGCTTGCTGCACACCCAGAAGCTCTCTCACCACTTCCGGCAATGCCTGTGACATTCCTCGAGCGCTCCGCTCGCAGACCAGGGCCCCAAGTTCCAAGGGGGCTCCGTGTCCGTTTAGAGTTTAGGACCTTTAGGGCTCTTGGACTTCGGGTTCGGATCCGCAATGATGTCCCCGTGTTGTTCTATGAACTTCTGCACTTGCTTAGTACTTCTTGGAGGGTTCCTGTGCAGCTGCTGGGCTTTGTGATGTAACGACGGCTTTGCGCCAGAGTGGTGAACAAAACAGCGCGAGATGGAAACTCGAAGGATCGTGGTGCTGTGTGAGTACTGTGCTTTGTGGAGGACGGTTGGCACGGTCTTGGGTGTTGGTTACTCAAAACTCCCTGAACCCTCAATCCCTGGCCTCAGGCCCTAGACCCCTTCACTCCTGCTGGTTTGCTCTCTGCTTGGTTGCACCAGATATGGCCACGAGAGTCGAAGGTAACTGGTCCGGAATTCAGAACAGAAAATAGGCTCCATCATCCTCGTCTGCCCTGCTTCCTCTGTCGCTCAGATCGGCATCGTGCCATGTCCATGCTACCAACCCATCCACTGGCCAGTGCATCCATGCCCAACCCGTGATAACGTCCATGCTACCAACCCATGTATTGGCCAGTGCGCCCGTGCCCAAACCATGATAACGTCCATGCTGCCAACCCGTCTATTGGCAAACCATGGAGCGTCCATACTCCAACCCATCTACCGGCCAGTGCATCCATGCCCAAACCATGATAGCGCCATGCTACCAACTCACGTATTGGCCAGTGCATCCATATCCAAACCATGATGACGTGCATGCTACCCATCCATTGGCCAGTGCATCCATGCCCAAACTATGTATCAACAAATGCTTCCGCGCAGAAACATCGTTTTTGTTTTGGCATTTTTTGCTGCGCATATCATCATAACGGTAACGCCATGTTGAGCAATGCTAAAATGCGAAAGTATAGGCCCTTCCATGTTTTTCCAACATTGCTCGAAGCCGGGGTGAAAGAACACATTGTACAGAACCTGGCCTTAAACCTCCATGCGGTCCTGCCGCTGCACTTCTTTGTCAAAATCAAGAGCATCGGCCGCGCAGAAACATCGTTTTTGTTTTGGCGTTTTTTGCTCCGCATATCATCATAACGGGGATGCCATGTTCAACAATGCTAACATGCGACGGGATGGGCCTGACATGCTTTTCACCTAGAATACAAGTATGCAGCCACTGCGGCAATGTACAAAGCCACACCGTACAGCGGCTACCAGCAGTACTTTGCAAGCAAGACGATCACCGGGCACTGATCTCCCGCGGCAGCGGTGGTATCGTCACGCCTCAACAAGACTGTGAACCCATAGATCGAAACACCTGATCACACATAACTTAAGATAGGTCACTAATCCGTACACCAAGAGTGTAATATACTCCCTTAATATAACACATAACGTAGCATAATATGATAAGCTATTTTCTGGGTCCATCACCGTCGTTTGCCCCAGTTTGTCTTCGAACAATGGGGATTCGTCCGCGTGCAGACAGTCCCGCGAGTTCTGTGCTTCAAGCCAGCTGTGCTCAAACATGATGGCCATGAGTTAAGATCACCCGGAGACCTGCTATACTACCTCGATTTTCCGTGAGCCCAAAGGAGTGACCAGCCTGCCGCACCCGCTGCGTCCCACAGCCAGAAGGACTTTTGCACCAGATCTCAAAACCCATGCCATGTCTCAGCCCTTGCGCGGTGCTCCGATTGCTTCTGCTCTCGGTGCTGGTGATGCCAGGGCACGGGGCCTACATTCACTGTGAAAGAAGCCACCGATCCAAATTCCAGAAGGTTGGCAGCACGACCCTACTTGGGAACCTGCGTGCCTGGAGGCTGTGCTGGCGGGTTGGGGAGGTTGCAGTCTGGCTTCGGCTTTGCAGCAGGGTTATCTGTGGAATCGAGACTTGACCCAGATCGACCTGCCCTTCAAGGAGTTTTCTTGGATTTTGCAAAAGCAACCTGTGAAACATTGCGAAGCCATCAGCTTTGCACGGAATCTCAGAGGTATAATCCTGCGGCAGAAGCCGTCCTGGTCTCAGCTTCACTGTGGAAAGGCAATGGCCAAGACTGCCTTCGGTGCTTGGCATCGCCCGCCTCAGCAAACTAAACGCATGGGTTTCGAGGTGGGTCGCAGGAAACTTGCCCACCGAGGACCAAAGGGAAGGTCTTTGCCTACGGCGTGTCTTTGCAGAACTTCATACAGAGCCGCAGGGCGGCATTGTGCGGTCGCTGGCACTGCGGGCTTTGTAATCCAACCCTTAGCATCCCTTGTATAGCCGTATCCACGATTGCTTACTGTGCATCTCGAGGCTATGGCGAACTGAAAATGGTCGCCAAAGGTTCGGTGCGGCTTGGGGGCAACAGTTTGAGCACATGTATATGTCAGCAGTAAGACGGTTGAAAGCAATAGGCAGCCCAGCATGCCGCCAGAGTTTAACCAAACATGAGTTGACCTCGATATCGAGAGAACCGTCGGAAGATGGAAGGCTCCTCGAGGTAATTACATCGTGACCTGTCCTTGCCTTTCGCCCTTGAGCCAGCTGATACTCACGGCCCCTTGTTGAACGAGCGAAGCAGACTAAGCCCCAAACCCTCCTAAACCCTGCACCAAGAACCCAGAATGCTGAAGAAATAGGAGCGATCAAACAAACAAGACCGTAAGCCCTTGTGAGCGCTTGAAGCCCAAGGATACAGTGCATGGATGCAGCCGCGGCCATCAACGGCCACTACGCTCGGCTGGAGGCTCTTCTGCAGAGGCCAGTGGGAGCCATTCAGGGGGCCTACATCAGTAGCATGGCTCATGAGCTTCGAGTTCGCGACGTGAGACCTTGGGCCCTTGCGCTTTCGTAGAGGTACTCGCTGACGGCTGTGGACGCAGACGAGCGTGCAAGTGTGAACCTGAACTACGTTTACATCTTCGATGATGATGCCCCTGAGCTGCATGCATCCCTATGCGAGCAGTGGCCCAAAAAATCGGACCTCCGAGTGGACGACTGTGTAATCGGGCCTTGCCTGACAGCGATTTCCGAACGATGTGTCCAATTAGCAGGAGCAACAATTTCTTTGCATCCTGCTACTGTTCCCGATTTCAGATTCCCATGTGGCTCTCCTACTCTGTGGTGCATCTGAGGACAAGCGCAGGGCTGACTTTCAGGTTTAGCCCCTCTGAGTTAGCCTCGCGGATGGAATTGCAGGGGGAGTCTCTGCTTGAGGGCCGGAGCAAGTGCCTGTGCTCTCATTCGTGATTTCATATCTTGGGGTCTATGTTGAGACGGTGTCGGAGGTGTTGGCAGCACTTGAGAGTTGGGCATGTTGTGCCGGCCTCCCGAGCAGAAGCACTCGCAACAGCTCACAAGAGGTGAGCTTCTCCTGCGAGCGTGATGTGTTTGCCCCAGTTTCAGGCTCGTAGCTTGCACAGGGCCGGGGAAGCTGTGCCTTCGCTACCGTTGTAGTCAGCGCAGGTGTCAAGACCTTTCTTGGAGAAGATCTCCATCTGAAAGGGGAACTTGATGCCTGAAGCAGTGTGTAGCGTGACTCAGAGACCTGATGCGAACTACAACTCTTGCAAAGGCTGGCCGCAAAGAGGTTGCGGCGTCGCAGGGTTTCGTCGGAGTTCAGAATGCTCCAGTAAGTGCGTGCCCTCATTTGCGACAGGCAGAGACTGCACGCACATCTCGTGGGTTCCTGTGGCCCAAGCTTACAAAGCTGGAGGGTCTCAGGGTTTCTCGTGAGCCCCTGGGCTCGGGGACGTCAGAGGCCGCAAGGGGATTGTCTCAGATGTTCTGCAGGCTTTTGTCAGGGTGGTATCTTGATGGCTGTCGGCCTGGATCTAATGTTGCGAGCACTGCAAAGCTTGCCAGGACTCCGGACGGGCCCCTTGATGTCTTTTGCCCCGCCTGTTCGCCGAGCGCCAGGGCCTTTGCCCTTCTTTGCGGTTGAGCATTCGGCCGGAAGTCAGTGTGCTGTTGATGAAGGAGGCCCGAAACAGTCATGGGTCACGTTCCACGCTGGGCTCCGCAAATGCACACTCCAGTCACTTCCGAGCTTTCTCTGAGGCCGGTGCCCGGTGGGCCGCGATCCTCTCAAGGGCCCCACTCTGAGAGGGGTGTTTTTTTCGGAAATGGAAATGTGCAGGTTTTCGGGGTGAGCTGTTTTAGGATGAAAATCATGTGTTGCACGCAGACAGCGGAAAGCAACTTTTGGTGTTGTTCGGTTGGGTCGTTGGAGGATAAGAAGTGTATCCGTAGGCTGGGTTTGGATAGACTTGAAGCGCGGATCGTGTCGGCATCTAGTGCAAGCATTCAGAAGGCAATCGGGGGAAGCGAAGCCTGCAGCAACGGGTTCAGTAATATCGCGCGCATCCCAGTGCGCTGTAGTCTGAACCTTTGTCTTCAGTGTGTGCCCGCCCGGTGCCAGGCAAGCTCATGTAATGCTTTGAAAGAGAGCCGGGTTAGATGGAGGTCCCGTGCCAGCGTCACGGCACTGTCGGAGAAGGCTTGGTTTCGAGCGGGGGAGATGTCGAACGTGTCTTCTAGTTCGGGGAGAGGTTGCCGGGATAATTTCAAAGCCTCCGGTCACTGGTCTGGTGTGTTCACCAACTTGAGGGGCCTTACACCCCGCATGGCCTGGGGGCTTTCACAAACTTGGAAGGATGCTTCCGTAAGTTCCATGTATGCACTTCGAACACATCCCTTAAAGGCGCCCCGGAGCAAGCCCGAAACCCTTACCCAGCCTCCTAAGTCGTTTGGAGACAGCCCTTGAAATTTGGGAAGGATGCCAGTCCACGCAGCGCCGCAAGCCCCAGGGCCCGAGAGAGCCCCAGTGAGCTGAGGCCGGGAATGCAAGGCAAGTCACTCACCGGCGTTGTCGAAGACCAGTCTAGTTTTGGTGAAAGAGCTTGGAAGTTCAGAAACCCTGAACAGAAGGCTCGCTCGAGCCCGCACTGCGCAGGGAAGATCGGCCTATGACGGTGCACGAGGCCATGGGAAGCAGCAACCAGAGCTTGACGGCGCGAGCAGCAGTCGAAAGCTTCCTGCCAGGCCAGCCGAGCGAAAAAGGCGGGATGCCTCTTTTCATGAAGCACGGCTTCCTGAAATTGCAAGACCTGAGCGGGCACGCAAGTTGGACAGTCTAATGTTAAATCCCGCAGTCCCGCCATGAATTATGAGAGTCCCAAAGCAGCTCGTAGCCTCAGAGACAGTTTCCTGGCAGGCAATCGACCGAAACCGGAAAGCCATCGAAAACCGCATCCGATACTTCCAAAAGGAAGAGGCCACGACATGCGCTGCTTGTGAAGCACCGCATCCGTTCTGCGGAGCTGACGAATCTCTGTCGGTGGAGGCATATGGAGGCTACACGGCTACACGGCCCTATGCCCGACCCGAAGCGTAGAACCCTGGGTCCAAGATGTCCATTGCTGCCCGCCAGCCTCCTCTCGAATCTTCGAACCGTGCCAGGAGAAGATTTGGAGGGACTTGGAGGAAGTGAGGCGGCAGGCGCCGAACACAGCTCGAAGGACAATTTTGTTTTCGGCTACTTGTAGGGAGAAGCTTACGGGTGACTGCAAGCACTGCATCGTAACCGGTTTCCGCCCGCCAGGCGGCGGCCATCGAGGCAAGGCGGATTCGGCTTTTGCAGTCTTCAGACGGCCCCTGGAGTCTCGTCCCCCGAAGTTTTTGGGAGCTCTGCATGCCGTAGAGCCTCACCTGTAAAGCCAAAGGATTCTTCCGGAGGTGCTGCAGTTTTCAACTGCCTTCTGAGTCGGAGCATGAAGCAAGTTCAATTCAGAGTCGACGGTTGTCCACAGGAGGGACGATCACGGACCATCGAAAAGAAGTTGGCAGATCGAGCGATTCAGCAGGACCGAGCAATCTTGGATCGACGAAGGGCGAGAGGAGAAGCGCTCGCTTGCTGCACCATGCGCGTGAATTCACCGCGAAGGAGAGAGACCTCCTGCTTCAGCAGAACAGAGTCAGAGCTGCTCAAAACAGGCTGGTGGGTTTTGAATCCACGTTAGTGCCCTTGGTGCGTGTCTCAGGAAACAGGGGAAGCGAAGCACCAACCCATTCAACGCCACCGTTGACCGGAGCGTTGTCGCATGTCGCCTCAGGGTGACCGTCTCCGACTACCGGAAGCAGCAGCAGCTGAGGACTGAGTCGAGTAAGTTGAGTAAGTTGACTGCTACTGAGCCCTGGGAAGGAGGCAGAGTGATGGCGCACGATCTCTCGCCGCCAAATATATGTTGCAATGCAGCTCAGGTTCGAAACCATGCGTGAGAAGCAGATCTCCGCGCAGGCTCAGCGCGAATCCTCCCAGGCCATGCCGGCTGGCACTGAATGGGGGCAATCACAGCGCAGCTGAAGCTGAGTTTGTCATAACGGGTGGTGCCGGGCCGAGACATATGTCATCCAGCATCCAGCATAGCTACAGCAACATCGGGATTAACAGGCAGCAGGTTAGGAACCACAGCCTGTAGCGGCACGCTTCTAGCCACACAGGTCAAAGCCTGTCATTCCTCTTTTCCGGAGGCCATCCTGAAGCAGAAGAGGATTCTGGAGATGGAGGCTGTGTGCAAAGCTACGAGAGCCGTTGGCTGCAATCTTTGAAGTAATTCCAAAGCATCTTTGGAGGGACCGGAAGTGTCAACACATAAGGGGTTGAGGGGGTGCGGTCTGTACCAGAGCCTGCCAGATTCGGCGCATGAACTCGGAGAAAGCCGCCCTGATACAGCCCGGACCTAAGTGTAGATGCAGGACTTGCCCATTTCTAGATGTAGAGCTGGGGCATCACGCATGGCGCAATGCCAGCCTGAGACTCATACCACACAAAGCCCTGAAGCACACCACGGCACCGAGGGTCTCGCAGAAGGAGGCGCGCACGCGGGCCACCAGCCCAGACTCCCGACAGCGCTGTTGGAGATACCTTGCTCATCTACTGTAGCTGATGCTATGTTTCGGCTTTGTCAAAGTTTGCCGTAGCGCTTGCCATCTGCCGAACATGGCATTTGCGAATCGAACGAGCCAAGTAACAAGTCAAGCTATCATCCACTCATCTTTGCCAGACCATGAGAGCTTCGTCTTGGACTGCATAGACTCATAGACTGGGTCTTATCCACAGGATCCAACAGAAGTAGTGGCGTCTTGCAAGAGCAGCCCCGCACGCAGCGAGACTCCTCAGCAAATGCACTTAAACAAACCTACACCCACACCTTATTGCAGGGCCCAGACACGGGTAAGCGGGAGCTCCTTCTCTGCCAACAGGATCCCAGAACCCCAGGACTCCTTCGGCAGGAGCCTAAAGCAACCATCCGCAACCCTCGACACATGACAACACTCGCGGGTCATGGTACCGATGATATGGCACCTGTACGCCTCTTGCTTTAGTTTAAAGCCCTTGTCCTATCTTGTTGAGAAGCCTGCTAAACCCTGCAGAAGTGAAATCCAAACCTAGATCTCAAACCCTCTTCAAACCCAGTGCTGGAGTATTCTTTGGCATCAAGGCCAGCCAGGAGCGCGCGGCGCGCATCGAACGTATGCGAGAGTTCCAGGCAACTTGCTGGGCGATGCGACTCCAAACTAAGCTTCGTGTTCGGTTTCCGTGAATTTCGATATGAACGCTAGACTGCTGGGCGGTGAAGTGCTGCAAGACTTGCCGCATGCTGTACCATCGACAAATGCAATGCTACGATGTCGCGCCACCCATTTTCCAGTTGCATGTTATAGTCCACTCAGGTCCTACGTCGTCGCAAGACCTGATGACCTGTCATGATTCTGCATCATTGCTAGATATCGTGAGGTGATACTTCACCCGGCAACAACTGCATCGCCGAACCATACACTTCAACTACCACTCCATAGAGCGCTGCATGCAATCTGTTGACACCCCCACTGTCAGCACTCAGCATGTGTCAGGAGCTTGAGCGCCAACAAGCGGAACAAGAGGCGCTCACCCAGCAGCTTTGGAGGGGTTCCTGGCATGTCAACAGCATGATTCGGAACAGCTTCAAGTGGCTCGTCAGAGCGACTTTGCGAGATTTGTGGCAGTAGGAACCTTTCACTGAAACTGCTTGGAGGTGATGGAGGCAGAGTCCACGCTCCCGGAGCTCGAGGTGGGCCCGACAAAAGATGGCACAGGAAGCCTTCGAAGCAGCTAACAGGCTGGCCATGCTGTTCCCTGAAGTGTCCTCCACATCGGTCCTGCCTTTACCTGTCTTTCAAGCGTCTCCATCAGGAGCAGGAGCTCATCTGCCTGCAGCGCCTGCAGAACTCGCGCATCGTCACCCAGTCGGTCCTGGAGGCACCGTCTAAATGGCCGTGACACCTTGGATGTGTAGCCATCAGTGGCAAACTGCAGAGTCGCCATGAAGCCACAAAGGTGCCCGAGCTCTTGATTTTGCATCTCGCTTCCATCGACCTCAGCTCCGATGTATCGCCTCAGCCACCCTGCGAGGAGCTGGAGACCCGTCTCGGATCGCAAAGCAAGGGCCTTTCCGGTCTTCGTGTGTGCTGAGAAGAGCAGCAACAGTGCCAACCCACGGTCTATCTTGGCTCTTTTGGCTCTTTTGGCTCTTTTGGCTCTTGCAGCATGCAGCCTCCAATCAAACTCACAGGGCCAGTGCGTCAGTGCGCGCACACATAATTAAATATACAGATACATGCAGAAGCACGAATGAGTAAGCACAATCTGCTGTAAGGGACCAGAGGCAACGAGCACCGGTTTCAAGGACATTGATTAGTTCAACATAGCATAAGCAAGCAAGCCGCCAAGCCCGACTCTGTGACCGCAAATTGAGTGACGAAGAATTGAGGATGGTTTACATCCGGATTGGTCGTAGCAGTGTATGGCTTTGGCTGCATTGTTCCGTTCCTAGCTTGCGAGAGAGCATTGATAGCAAGAGCCGCACACCTTTCCGAGGCTCCGTGACGACACTGCTCCGTTCAAAGCAGGCCGGTAAGGGCTTGTGGGCACAGCCTGTTCGATATGCAATGTGTATATCCTATCTCCACCACTCTAGATTCTAAATAAGATCAACAGTCGGCTTTATGCACAACTTGCAACTTGGGCAAATCATCATTCCAGTATTGACATTTTCAAGCGTACGCTTTCCTTGGAAGCCTGTCTCTGTCCTGAGCATGTCTCCGTGTGCGTCCTTTGTGTTTGGATGCATATGTGCATGTGGGTGTGCGAGGGTGGATGGGTTGCTTCAGTTGTGGGCACGTGAACACACATATCGTCTGAGTGCAGGCGCACTTTGGATTGCACAATGCGTTTCTGTTTTGATGCAGGCTTGTAGAAAAGCTGAAAGCTTGCACGCAAGGCAGCAGCATGTCCGTCTTCCGAACGGCAGCACTTCTTGGACTTTGGCATGTAGTCGTGAGGGATGTTGATACCTGAATTGCATCCTGAGTCGAGAGCACCGGCACTGGACGCATCAGATCCTTCGAAAGTTTGCCGCAGCCAATGCCATTGTCTTTTCTCCGAACCTGCGTGAGTCTAGCGCAGGCTAGGCCTGAAGCCAAAAGCCCGCAAGTCAACATCCGGAAATGCAGGGCCTGGACTCAGTCGGTGGTCTTTCGACTGGCGTCCCCGCAGAGCCGGAGGCCACAAAATCGAAATTTTGAGATCGTGAGCAGGATAGGACCTTGATGACCTTCTTTGTGGGCTTACGCTTCAGCCATTTTTCGGAATTGTAGATCCTTTGTTGTGTATGGTGTTGTTGTGTCGTATTTGCTTGGTGTTGGTGCTGGAGATCAGCGGCTTTCCTGTCATAGGGCCCTTTGTCACGAAGATTTCATCTCCGGCTCTTGATTGCGAAGCCTGACCGCAGGGTGCCACGGTCGACACGAAGCCAGCACGGCTCTGAGTCTGTTGGTGCGCTTGCGCCGTTTATTCCGGGGGCGGAGCTCGCCTGATCCGTATTTTGAAGTCAGGAAACAGCTGTCAGACTCAACTTTCGGGTGCCCCAGATCCTCCGTAGCATCCAAAATAATAGATGACATCCGGTTCCGTGGCTGGCATGGCACGCAAGACCCGTAGAAGAGCGTTGTCTCTGTCGTGGTACCTGTGGCGATGATGAGCAATGTTCCGGGGTCTGCACCAGCAGTTAATTGCACTTGTAGGGCTTCTGATGGTGCTCATGGCTGGAGCAATCCTAGGAATTCTACTGTGGGTATCACATGCCACATAAGCTCCGTCCGTCCGTGTATGTATGCATGTATGTATGTATGTATGTATGTATTCTCTACGAGGATGTGCATATACATGCATGTATATATTTTACGCACATGCATATGTATGTTTAAACGTACATACATACATACATACATACATACATACATCATACATACATACATACATACATACATACATACATACATACATACATACATACATAACAAACAAGCAGACATACATACCTACGCACATACATATGTATATATACATCTACACATTGGTGTCTGTGTGTGCGTAAATACATATGTATATGTGTATGTACGCATGCATGCATACAGGCATGAATTAATTGATGCCTTCATATCTCTCTCTCTCTATATATATATATATGTATATAGATATATCTTTAAGCATACATATATGTATATGTGCATGTGTATGCATATATGTATGTGCCATGTGCATGCGTGTATGTGTATGTGTAATATGTAGTTACGTATGTATGTATGTATGTATGTATGTATGTATGTATGTATCATCTGCACTCAAGTAAAGCCATGCTCTGCTTGCTTCGGGGCCTCCTCATGATTCGGGGAAGTTTCAAGGTCGAGTCGCAACAGGATGCCTCGCCAGGCAGAGTTGCCTTGGTTGAAGTTTGGGCTTCCACGGTTGACGAGGGTTTGGAGTTGAGGCAATAGGGTCTGGGAGTTGGGCAGCCCTGGGGCTCGATCCTGTCGGTAAAAGTAGTCCAAGCCTGTATCTGACGAAGCATGGCAATGCGTGACGTGCCCGACAAACGCGCATTTGGCAGGCGAAGAGATCGTGCAGTAACAGAGGTGCAATGCTTGTTCTGCCTTGCAGTCTCCATGCAAATTTTGACTGATTGTGTAATGCATTTGCATGCTTCTCTGCATCAATCATTTGAGAATTGTACAAGAGCCTTTTAACATAGACGTGCTGTGCCTCATCTTGATGCTGCAGGTGCACTGCGTGCGTGAGAGGTTGCAGTGGCGACGGTTTTCACGAAAGTTTCAACCATGAGAGCGCATGCAATGCTTGCTCTACTCTTACAGACCCTTGGTGTCCAAGGCAAAGCTGGGACCTATCTGACGTGTCTGAATCCATAGAAAACCCAAGGTCCGTCGGAGTAAGGCTTGTAGGTGCAGCACGGGACACCTATAGAGACTGGCACCTTTCACATTCGTGCTATTGACGTGCTTTCAGTAGCATGCCGGCTTTCTCAAAGGCATGGTGTCCCCGCTGTGCTGCTTTGCGTGCATCGCTTGCTAACGCGATGATTCCTGTGTGAGTTATAGCAGGAGGCAGATTATGCCCACGGTTTCGGATCCCAACGTACAGCCATCCATGGCACCTTACGTCAAGATAAATGCTGGACCCGAGCAACTTACAGCAACCTGGATGCCTCGCAGGGGGGTGCCCATGCAAAGAGCTGGGATGCCAGAACTGAGCAGGCCCTTCCATTCGTGTGAGTGGGCCCGACTCCAAGCGTTTTTCGTGGAGGTGTCGTTATCATAACAGCAATTAGGATAAGGCTAGACACAATGCTGACCATCTCCGCAGTAAGGAAGATAACCATTGCAGGTGAGTACTTCTCCAAGCCCTGCGTTTCAGGGGGAGGGCGCCGCTCGGGTTGTGTGCTGCCGGCTTCGACTTCTGCCGCGTGCCACTATTCGGTAGAGGCCATGTCAATGAGTGAGCGATGTCCTGAAGCGGGGGACACAAATTGGAAACCAAGCAGTGGTGGAGCTTAATTCCCAAGTTAAATGCCTCCCGCCAGGGACCCCACCATGTTGGACAAATCTCTGCCAGCCAGCCGACTTCACGTGGTGTGGATTCTCCAATGTTGCCTGCATGTGTGGATATCGGCCATTTGCATACAGCCCCTGCTCGGGATGGGGCTGACCTTCTCGCCACCATGCTTCGAATCCTGCAGCTGTGGCTGCTGAGGCCGAGGGTTAGCTGTGCCACCAAGGTGTCATGGGTAGCACGGCCCATGCCAGATTCAGAATATTGAGTTGAATTCTGCTTTGTACTCAGCATTGCTCCGTCCTGCCGTCGTGTTAGGTGTGCTTTGCACGGGAAACCCAACTGCTCCAGCTAGCCAGAGCCAGACACTTCAACGCAAGCCGTAGCTGTGCATCGTATGCCACAGATTTACGGTAGCACTGCCCAATTGTCTCAAGTTGTACCGCAGTTTGGCCTCGACGTTCGCACCGGCATGGGCCAGAAGCCGCTTGGCGGACCGTTGTTCCTATCGAAGTGTTCGACCCTTTGACGGATCGAGGCTGTTCCTGAATCCACTCTGTCGAAGCGGATGTTGCTAGTCGAGCCGCGCATTGAACCTTTTGTTCTCCGCGTTGTGCTACTGCCAAGCTGCACTTTTCAATCCTGGGCTTCAACCTGGAAAGCTGAACCTGCAAAACCCCTGCCCACGCTCAAATTCAGGCTTCCGTCCCGGTACCATCAATGGCTGGATCCTCTGGGCGCAGAAAACCGCAACTGGGCACACTTTCGGGCGATCTCTTTCGGCAAAGTCGTGAGGAGTTACATGCTGCACTTCTGTAGTCACCGGTTGCTTGCACAGCGTTCAGCCGATGCAGAGCTTGAAAACTGAGGAAATCTATGATCCTCCATGGTGTGCCGAGAGGCGAGAAGCTCCATGGAGCATGCTCGGATGTTTATCGATTCGCTCGGCTCATTCGGCCCCTAACTTGAAGAATTGGAAGCAACCGCAAACAACTCTGGGCGAAATGACCATGTCCCGGGCATTTGTGCCGCGTGCCTCAAGCTGAAAGCGTGCATAGGATCAGGAAGTTTTCCCACAGATCAACACTGGAACCTCAGGAGCAACCGAGCTGAGCTGTGCGGCCGAGTCATCCACTCACTCGGGGATCCCACTGTACAGGTCGTAAATGAGGGGGGGATCCACCCTGATCTAGAATATTCTTAGGGTACTTCTGCCAGGCAGTCTTTCCATTCGCAAGAGTCGCAGTACCTCTTGTTCAGGACCGCATGCATGATCTCGGACATCGTCGATGCGGCGGCACAGGTTCCTGGTTCGCATTGGAGATGCCCCAACTTGCAAGAAACCTCCAGGGCCACCAGGGCCCCAGGGCTGTTTCGGAGAAGCCTCCTGTGTCAAATTCCGGCGTTGCAGCAAGCACCTGTACACAAGGAAATTGGAGTCTCAACTGCGAATCCCTAAAGCAAAAAGCCCACAGCCCTGAGCCCTACAAAACCCTAAGGCCGTAACCCTAAATCCCAAGCCCCAAGCCCTTTGTTCCAAACTCTCCAGGTGGTTGCCATGACAGGCGATTGCATGGGCGAGCTGGAGGAGCCAGCAAACTGCGCCAACGATATCTTCGCTTTCCTCGCGCTCAGCGGCAATTCAGGGGAGCATCGGGGATTTGTGGGTTTGCCGGGTTGAGGGTTCGGTTGAGGTGTGTTTTTGGAGGTCTCAGGGTTTTAGAGTTGCATGTGAAGGAACTCGCAAGAAGGTCTGGAGTCCAGATCTTCTGCCTTCCGCTGAACTTAATCAGGGGCTGGGGGTTGCAACGCAAAGGATGAACCTGAGATAGGCGATGATGGGCGCGAGATATTTGAGGATCCTTGACAGTTTAACAAGCAGGAACCTTAGAAAGCAAGAACTCTGCTTTTCAGCACATTCACCAGCCTAGTACGATATCGCGGATGCCTGTGGATGCGCTGCTGGACTTGCGATGGGCTGCGCTGGCAAAGCGACAACGTGCGATGCCTGGCAGAAATCCCCGAGACCCACAGCATCTTATCCTGGACCCACAGCTGTGGATCTGAGTGGAAGCTCTGTTTTCCAGTCAACAACACTCCAGAGTTTCAATGTTGATTGTTCTTGGTGCTGTCGGCAACACACTTTCCGGTCAGTCCCAGCTCATTACCTCGCCAGCCATCATGGGAGATATAGAAAATTCAAAACCTGATAGCTATGCATCAGAATGTAAGCGGAGACCACAGGCAGGAGCAACTCGCATCCTGGATTTAAACTTTCGCTTCGTCGCTACACTCCAGTTTCCAACGTCTCAGAGCTAAGGAGCAAGGAGCAGCTTGGAAGCAGCTAGGACTAGGACATAAGCTGCTGGGGACCAGGACCTCGCAGTTGCGAAGGGTCTGCAAAGGGGCCGCTGCACGGCCGACTCTCCCATCATCCAACAGGTCCAACAGATATTTTTAGAACATGTAGAGCTGGTTTGAGCTGCATCATAGCTTATCACAGGGTCAGCGCACGTCACGCGGTAGAGCAAGTTGTTCGCAGTTCCAGCCCTGCAGTCGTTGACTCAAACGACCTTCCTGGGCACGAGGCGTTCTTCGCGTCTGAGGATGCCTTGTCCGTCGCGCAAGATCTGATCGGAGCTGCAGTGACTCAGCTCATGCTTCCAAGATCCTTGCTGTTCATGTTGCTTTTCGTTTGCTGCATTTGAGACAATGACTCAATCGATCTGCTAGTAGGCAAAGTGGCGCTGTCGGCTTGTGACATGAGGGCTGGAGGGCAGGGACGTCGAGGGGCCTTCGGTGTAAGGAGTCTGAAGCTTCGCAAAACCCTGTTCGGACACGTGACCCCAGTTTGAGGCCCGACTACAGGCTCTTGATGTGCACTATTGTGTACTGTCATACTTTCGCATCAACCAATCCTGAACACCTAACCGTGGCACTTACCCGAAATACAACGGATGACAGATTCCTGCATTTGCACGAAAGACATCCGCCAAGGGCAACTGCGACCTTGACGTTTTCCTCTGCTTCTTCGCTGCATTAGCCATCCAGGTCATCAGATTAGCAGGGTGCGAGCATCTTGGCATGGCCTGCCTTTGGCCGCGATAGCCCATTGCACCCCGAAGCCATCCAAAGGTTCCAGCCTCGATAGGGTACAGATTTCGCCCAGGCCTTATCAACGTCGTCGATGCTCTCAATGATATGCTCACCATGGCCCTGGACCTTTGGATCTCTTGCGGTCGCAACCACGGGTTTGAGTTTATGTTACAGTCAACGCTGGAATGTGCGCGCCGCAGCCTGCGTGGCTGCACACCTCTGTTCCGACAGTCGTTTGAAGTCCTTCTTTGCTCTGCAGGCCGTCTTCTGATATGTCATTCTCACGCAATTCAATCGGGAGTTGGACATGGCAGGTTATCATAGGCATGGAAGTTCGAGATTCCGTATTGGGATGCAGAACTCCTTGCTCTGATGCCGCTGCGTTTGCAGGACACGAAGTCGGCAGTTGACAGTTGCCCGCTGGCGCGCCGGCCTTTCGGAATTCAGGGCGACTTTCGAATCCATGTTTTTCTGTGTGTAGGCAGCGGTTGTCATGAGTTTGAATCGCCTGGCTTCGTTAATGCTGGGGCGTTGGTATGCAACAATTGCCGGATGGAAATTGCGGCTTTGCGGCCCGTTCTGAACAAGCATGGATTTCAGTTCTACTGCGGTTCGACTCTCTGTGGTTCATTTTGCCTGACAGCACTGTGGCTCTTTATTCTGCATCAAGGCCTCAAGGCTTGACGACCTTGAAAGCAACTTGTGTCAGCAACCCTTTCATCAATCCTGCAGCTCCAGGCTTTAACACCGAGTACCGCTGGCAACACCTCCGGAGCCCTAAGGCCCCGAAACCGTGGTAAGTCGCCTGGTCAGGAGCGCGAAGGTTTCCTCAAGAAGTGGCTGAAGCAAGGCTCTGCCACAGCGGGTTCTAGTTGACGTCGTCAATGGGAATGAGGCTCTCTACCTGTCGCAATCGTGGCAGCTGCCTGCAAGCGTCCGGCTCTTCTTGACATCATATTCTGCAACTCACTCGAAGACTTGTCTGAAGTCGCACGCGCAGCCTTCTAGCAAGACCCTCTGTAGTTCCACTGGTATGCCAGCCAGTAGTACCAACAAGCCTTCAATCCGGTATGGCCTGCGCATGGTCAGAGGCTTGAAATCCAGGGGGCCCCTGCTAGAGACTGCCTAGAATGGCTATCTTCGAAATTCGAACCCAACCACAGAAGCCCTGTGCCAGTGACCCAAACAAATCGGGACGCCACTCCATCGCTCGCTGCAGAACACCCCGACTGGTTTCAGTATCGCATGCTCGAGCCGCCGCAAGAAGGCCACGCGAGGGCGCGAGGGGTTGAGTGGAAGTTGACACCTGCTTTTTTTTTGTATCAAGATTCTGGGATTCAGATCCTGTCTGAGTGACGCGCAGGCTTAGACGGGCAGGTCTTCTCTTGTGTATCGACTCAGAGGTCATTTCAGAACTATGGGTTGGTGTGCCGAGATTGGCAAAACTTGTCAGTTCGAAAGCATGAGATCAGAGATCACAGAAACTGTACTTTCTTTCTTGCCTCGGCACTTGAAGGCCAAGACAACGCATCGTCAGGGGGCTCAGACGGGATGTTTCACCACTTGGTTTATGGTCCTTCCGGCACTTTCGCATTGTGGCCCATGCTGAAGCCGGCCGGAAGTTCAGATGGATAAACGGCTGTACTGAGCCAGAGCATCGCCGCCAGCCTGAAAGCTGCTCAGGTCGGAGGAAGATCAGGCCCGGCCATGCCTGCGTGCTTTTTTTCTTTTTCCTCAGGCCCCGCTTTGGCCAGATCATTGCTGTTACATGCTACATGGAGGCTGTCGTGTGTGTGGTCCGGGTTCAGCAAGGCTCGGCTTCGGCTTCGGTTGGCTCTTTCTTTTGCACCCGGGAGCTTTGGGTAAAGGCACCTTGCGCCTCGCTTCACAGGGCTTCACACGAGCCATTTGGTGCTTGTGTTCAGACGCTTCACACTTCACGATCTCGAGGTCCATCTGAGCAGCAGGTACAGGGCCGAAGATGCTTGGCAGCATCCAGCTATTCCCAAGATGAGCGTGTCAAGCTGTAGGACGAAGTAACAAGAGCTCGTCTCAACATAGAAGCTTGAGGCTTTGGTTCCAATTTTGTGTTTCGGGTTTCTATGCAGTCAGCAACCTAGCTGTCCACAAAGGAACAGCGCTTTCTTGGTTGAAGCCAAGCGCTGTTGTGCGCATGATCCTACAACAGTGCATGTCGACCTTAGCTCAACTCCGATCACCTGGCGACTTTCAAAGATGCCACCACAAGGCCGGAGCTTTTTCTACAAGACTATATGATTTATATGCCCTATACAGTAAGTGACGTTGGGATTGCGATTCTCATGTGGGCGCCTGGGTTCGTCCGTCTGGCTCGCACAGTGAGGCATATCCGGACGTGTGCAAGCAGCTACTGTGACGGCTTCTCGCAAACTGACGATGTTATGCGTGAGGCAGTGAATCCTTCTAAGGCACTTCCCTGAAGCTTGGAATTGTGAGTCCCGAGCGCTGCTTCTTCTTCTATTCAGAACAGGCTTGGCGTGATAGACATCACGCACAATGGCCCCATTGTTGCTATGGACAACGCGGGTGTGCTGCGAGTGGGCAGCGCCTTGGGCACGGAAGAATAGAGTCAACAGCGGTCTTCGTTTCATTAGAAATGCTGTCTGTCTGACTCTTGCCTTCCTCTGTGCCTTTCCGTTCTCATTTCTCCCCTCCCCCTTACCCTCCAAACCTCCCCCCCACTCCTACACTCACCCACCCCTCCACCCCCTCACGCGGACCTCCTGACCTCTCTCGCTCTCACTCTCGCGCTCTCGCTCTCGCTCTCGTTCTCTCTGCAGCCGTGTGCATGTGCACATGAATACGGTGCCGAAGTGTTATGAGGGGCTTGTGTCAGAACATTGTAGAGTTGCATGGGAGTTCCTGGCTACAAGTCAACCTGCTTGGTATGCAGGGCAGTCCTGGCCGACCTGCCAGTGATAGCAACACCTCGCAATAACGATGAGTCAACGACATGACGTCTTCAGAACCCGGACCCTGACTCGTGCATCAGAGGTGCCTACGTGATGCCACATTCAAACAGCCAGTCGGATCCTCGGAGACGGAGCGAGAGGAGACCGTGATGCCCGAGGTGTCTTCCACAGACCTGCGGCTGTATGTGATATGAAGAGCTGAAGCAGAATACTCAAGACACATTCAGCACGCCCACTCTTTTTCTCTCTTTCTTTCTCTCTCTCTCTCACGTTGGGGCTTCGCCAAGGATTAATCCAAACACAATGCGTGGCGCCCGTCCTTCCGAGGGACGGCGCCTGTGGGCGCAGGCAGTCTTGGCGGATCGAGTGCGCATGGGCACATTTGTCTTTGGGATGGTGACTGTAGCAAACGTGGCCGGAGCTGGCCGATCGGTGGTTCCGTCCTAGGTCCAAGGATGAGCCTCGAGACAACACCATGTGTATCATTCTGTATCATGACACAGGCAGATAAGATCTATGGTCGTCTCTTTGATGAGGAGCAGCAGCCAAGCCAGCTCATGACGCTGCACGACACCGAGGTGGACGCTTGGCTGCCAGCTCTCATTTCACTTTGGACTTCTCGGAACGTTGGGTGCCTTTGAGGACTCCGCAGGACAGTAAGCTCCGCTTGTAGGAGGAGTCCCAGTTTCGAAGAGACGTGAGTCATGTCTGAGTCATGTCTTGTCCCTTTCTCGCCGGTGGCCGGAAATGTTTCTTTACTGTACGCTCGGCTCTGCAGTTTGACAAATCCAACTGAACCCTTGGACTTCAGACCGAAAGCTGAGGAAGTGTTCTATGTGGGTGACCTGGGTCAGCCCGAGGACTCCTGTGATGATCACCGTCTAGACTCCTATGTAGTCTAGAGAGCCAAATGTAGGCAAAGCGCAAAATCTGCCAGGAAGGATCCGAGGGCATTCAGGCCGGATCTTCGCGGCAGTAGCGGCATAGCCATGCCCAGATGAAAGTCAGGGAACGATGCGTCTTGTCCATGTCTCGGAGAGGCATTCGAGTAGCACCGAGGCCGGTCGCTCAGAGAGGCATGCTAATGGCCTGCCGTCGCATCCAGGGCTCTGACGGCGCTTCGCAGAGAGCCGAGGTTGACCTGAGACTTCGCCAAATTCGCCGAAAACTCTTCCCTTTACCAATTGACCTTCCGAAGCGCTTGGTCCAATTTGTCACCGGCCCTGATTATTCTGGGCCAGGGATAGTTTCGGCTCACACAGTATGCTGAGAACTCAGGAGTCCCATCTAAAACTGTGCTATTTGGACTTCTGTCAAAGAGCCTGTCTGCCTTGTTTCGGGACTTCTGCGGCCAAGAGCAAGAGCCTTCACTGTCATGTCTTTAGACTTTAGACGAACATCTGAAGTCACACCAGTGGACCAGGTGAGCACGAGCGTGGACCCAATGAGGTCACCGTAGCATACCGTAGCTAGGAGCAGGTCCTCCCGTGGTTGTTTAAGGAGACTGATCCTGATGGAATGAGTCGAAGCGCTTCCATTTCTTGTTCTCAAAGACCAGGTTCAGACAGAAGACGTTGTGACCGAGCCGAAGGTTCAGCTTTAGTGTTGGTCGACGATCTCAAAGCTCAGATTGAAGCCACACCATACTGCAGTAGTAGTTGTGATTGGCTCGAGTTTCCCACCTCTGGCTGCAATAAGCTTGGGCGAAGAAAGAAGGTTGATGGTTCCGTTGTCCGTTGCAGGCGATGTGAGTTTGGCCGCTTGTGGCAGAGATCAAGACTCTGCAGGACCAATCATGGATGGTCATTGCTCGCCCCAGGGTTGGCCAAGGGACGAAGGTTCCGTCAGCTGCCGCTACTGCCTCCGCGAGTCTTCCATTCAGGCTCCAACACAAGTACTGTCAACAAGGGACAGCTTGATTAGCTTCCTTTAGCAAAGTCAGTTGTCGGCACAAAGCTGCATTCATCAAGATCGCATGAGCTTCGAGCTTGTGTAACTAAAGCTACCACTGAAGCTCCGCAGACATTCACTTAGAACTTAGACTTTCTCAAAGGACTCTCCATAGTCTTGTTTTCGGTTCGTGCCTGCTACTCGAAGACTGGCACGGAGCCCTTCAGCCCTTCCCTTCGCAATGCGGAGCCTGCAGATCTGGCTGATCAGGCAGATAAAAGCCGTAACATCGCATGGGGAGCTTTCGAGTATTCGCCCTTTTGGATTTGCTTCGGAGTAGAAATGAGAATGGGCGAGTGGGCTTGGGGCCAGTTCCTGGTTTCCATGCCAGGCATAGTTGCGCATGCGGACTTGGAGACGCCTTCGGGGAGAAAGAAGGCTGTCTTGTCAGCTCCAGAGCCCAGTCCCGTCGGGACGGGACGTCGCAAGGACCTGAACCTGGCCAACCCAGCAGAAGGAAGGTTTTTTCTTCCGAACTCGTTCACACCCCCTACAAGGTAGTCCGTAGACCAGAACTGCACCGAAAACACGCCGCACAAAGAGGTTGCGCAATCAAAGCGCAAAGACTGTCAGGCAGAGAAGGGTGAGTCTCACGTGAGTACTACGAGCCGTGTGTATTCTTTAATGCTTGAAATGTACTCACTGACCGACCGTTTCGTCACTCTCAATTGAATAAATTGCATACCGTGCTCCATCTATATCGCCCCTGCCCTGAGCCAGCGTACACAAGGGGGGGCCCAGATTAAGCAAGCACCGACTCCGATCGCAGTTGGGCTCTGACATTTGCGCCGGCAAGGGCCAAAAGCTCCTTGGCAGGTCAGGATGCAGTTCACTGTCAGTCGCAGGACAGTGACATAGTCATAAAGGGGTTCAGCGTACAGGCTGGCCGTAGGATTGCATTGATACTGTAGCATACAGTCTAGCAGTGTGAACTGCCGTCTGGTGCTAGGACAGTTCAGATTTTGACCGGTTCGCAAGTTGTACATGATGACCAACCGCCTTGAAAAGCTTTTATTGCAACCTTCTTGCGCGGTGCACAGTGCACAGCTACTGAAGCAACCCCCGAAGGCTGCAGAAGTGACATGGTTGCTGATGCACAAGCGGAACGTGTATGTTGACAGGATCGCATGTCACTGGCGGTCAGCAGCATGATGCGACGTACGAGTAGGCAGCAACTGAGGCTGGCGTCCGAATACAGTCAACTGGCTCCTGTTCAACCATCCGTCTGCAACTGGGCTTTATGCGGGCTTGCGGGGGCAGGAAGCACGCGAACAAATAATGGGAGCCTCCCACGGGCCTTTATTATTTTTTTTTCGCGCCCCCCTCCCCGGGGGCAGTACTATTATTATTTTTTCTTCTTTGCTTTCAGGAGACCTCTGAAAATAATAATGATGATGATCCTGGGGGAAGGTTCTTTCCTGTAGTAGGCCCGAGTTGCCCGATAATAATACCCGGCCCCCCCCCACCCGTCAAAAAAAATTAAAATGATACCCGCCCCCCCTCCACCCGCCAAACCAAAAAATAATAATGTTTTCTTGTTCGAGGGTCGGCTCGGATTCGCGTATCGTGGTGGTAGTACGCTCGAGTTGCCCAATACTAGTACCCGCATCCCCCCCCTCCACCCTTCAAAAAGAAAAAATAAAAATTTTGTCTTGTCTCAGAGTCTGTCTGACAACACCAGCGCCGTTCTTGCCCACCCCACCCCACCCCTACCCCCCACCCGACCCCCCCTCCACACCCTCCCCCCCTCACCACCCCCACCCCCCCGTCCCCACCCCACCCCCACGCCCCCCCCACTTTTCTTATTGTTATTATTTTTTCGCCCTCCTCCCCCACCTCCCCCCTCCCCACCTCCCCCCTCCCCCCTCCACCCTCCCCCCCCCACCACCCCCCATTATCATTATTTTTTCCCCCTCCTACCCCACCCCACCCCCACCCCACCCCACCCCACCCGACCCCACCCCGCCCTGCCCCACCCCCCCACCCCACCCCACTCCCCCCGTGCCTATATATGTATAGTAGAGTATATAATATGTCATGTATATACATACATGTATGTATGTATATATATACACACATATATTTATATTCGTATACTTATGTTTATATTCATACGCATATACAAGGGGATGTGTACATAACATATACCATCTGTTAGATGTAAGTTTTTTGTACATCATATATATATATATATACATATTCGCCATGTTGCCCTGGCTTTGCAGAACCTATAGGTTGTCGCTGCGAATAGGTTGTCGCTGGGGTGGTAGAACCCCCAGGCGGCCGTGTGATTACGTTGGAACAAACCTAGGTTTTCCATAGCTACGGCAAACGTGGCTCGACTTTTGAAAGTACGTTCTGCCAGGGCACGCCGACGGCACCACATGGCACTCTCTCTCGTCGATCCTTTGTGGCAGCCGTTTCTAGCTTCAAGCCGGGCGCGTCCAGGGTCCGACGGTCCACTTTCGTGGCCGTAGCAGTTGTTGCAGTAGTAGTAGTAGTAGTAGTAGTAGTAGTTGTTGTTGTTGTTGGTGGTGGTGGTGTCGGGTGGGTTGTGGCGTTGTGTCGTCTGTTGCTCTTGGTAAGTCTTCTGTTGCTGTCGTTGT